CTAAAAGCTGGGACTCTGATTCAAAGATTTGGAGGCTCATATGCATGTCATACTTTATATAGAATGTGGATGCACAGAGTTCATAAAGAGCTGCCTCATTCAGTTAAAACCACAGAGGTTTCCTAGTGAGATCTGAGCTTCCTTTACTTAGCAGGGCTGCATTAGAGGATTGCTTGACCATGTGCATGGTTACTAGGTGATTGGAAGGGTCTACACTTGGCTGAGCTAGAGGGAGGTCTTTGCTCCACCTCTTGGCATTCCTATAAACAGGCCTTTAGAAGAGACAGAAAAGGCCAGTGGATAAGCATCCAGACCCTCCCGAGGCTATCCTGTGTTTCTGTTTCTCTCCCCTTTCTACCTCTGTCTTTCTACCTCAATTCATTATCCCTCTCTCCTCAAGAGTTCCCTGTCATAAAAATGTGGAAGCTGGTCTCCTACATAAAAGAAAAACTCAAATGCATTAATCAAGCTTAAGAGGGAGAAGACATGTGATAACTCACAACACAGAAACTGCACATACTTGCCATCTCTCTAGAGAGCACCTGGTGTCTCATTCATTCACAAACCAGCTCTATTTACTCTGTTCCTCTTTTCTCTTCCACTCAGTCGTGTTACTCCATCTCTGCCTCCTCCTCCTCCTCTTTTTAATATAGAGAGAGCATATGGATAAAAAGTTACAGAGTACTTGCTTTTAGAAGAAACAAAAGAAAGACTTTGTATTACTGACAATTAGAATGGCCTTCAAGGGACAAGTTCTAGTGACAGAAAAATCAGTTGACTGTAATGATACATTCAATAGGAAAAGAGAATGCACATGATTTATGATGTGATCAACTAAGTTTTATGACACCTGTCTAAATAAGATTAATAAGAAGATAGTTTGTGGTAGTTAATCTTAATTGCCAAGTTGACCCAACCTGGAATCCCCTGGTAAGAGAGATTCAATGAGGGATTGATTAGATGAGATTGCCCTAAAGGTATGCCTCTGGGGAGATGACTGGAGTACTTGGTATTCAATGTGAGAATTCCCATCCCTCTTTGGGCAGCACCATTTTCTGACTTTTGATGTAGGACTGCATAAGTATAGAGGACAGGCTGAGAACAAGTGAGCACGCATGCATTCATTTCTCCCTCTGCTCTCGATTGTACACGGGATGTGACTAGCTGTTTCATGTTCTTGCCACCTTGACTTCCCTGTAACAATAGAATTGTGAGCTGAAATAAACCATTTCTCCCCTGAGTTGCTTTTTGTCAGGATATTTGATCACAACAAGTAAATGAAAGTAGGACACAGGTCTTAGGGTGATGCTGGTCTTTCACTTACAAGCTAACTGTGAAGAAAAAAAATCACAATAGCATATACTATTTGGTTTTCCAGAGCTATTGTCATTTGTGCCCCCTCTTGCTCTGTCAGTGGCACTGGAGAGAACCAGCTTGTTCATTTGTGCCCCCTCTTTCTCTGTCCTTGGCACTGGAGAGAACCAGCTTGTTCATTTGTGCCCCCTCTTTCTCTGTCAGTGGCACTGGAGAGAACCAGCTTGTTCATTTGTGCCCCCTCCTGCTTTGTCACTGGCACTGGAGAGAACCAGCTTGTTCATTTTAACCCCCCCACTCCCCCCACCCCCATCTAGCTCTCCACTTCTGAACGCCTCTATTATGTTAGTCATCACCACCGCATATTCTTCCTCCTTTGCCTACTTTCTCTAGTTCTCTGTGTGGTCCTTTTACGAAGGCCTTTCTTTCTCGAGGCCTGGTTATAACTTTTCTGTAACTGCTATTTACTCTTCCACAGATAACGTCACAGAATCCTAAATTGGCAAATGCCATTTTATGCTTATAGCCTACAAATTGCTATAATTAAACTGACACATAAAGTTACCTCTACCGGTTTTCTTACAGGGATATCACTAATATCTTACACTCTTGATTTGAATCGGCAGCTTCTAACCCATCTCTACTATTGTTTACCTTATTCAGTAATATTCTGTCTCTCTTGTCTATCCACATGGAGAATAACCTGAGAACAATCTCTGATATTATCCACATTCCTTCCAGTCAGCCAGTGATGCCCATCAATTCCAATTCAGAATAGATTGAGTGCATTTTCTTCTTCCTACCTCTATTTCTTACAGATTAGTTTAAACTATCACAAAACCATTTTATATAATTGTTCAATGACTTCCTATGTCTCTTGAAATATAATTCAAACTCCTATAGAATTCCCTGTCACCACATGTAGCCTTACTATCTGAGCTTCAACTGCTTTTTTCTAAACATACAACAATTTTTTTTTTCCCATTACACCACTTGCTTTCAATATTTCTTCGGTACCAAACAACCCTTACTGATCTGGTGTCTTTGAGTATATATGTAAAGATTGAATAGAGGTTGTGTTATGAGTTATAACTGCAGTATGGTGAAGGTGGAGACAGACAGATCATGGGGACTTACTATCCAGTCGGCTTAGCCACTCTTTGCAAAGCTCCAGGCCACTGTTTCATAAAACAAAGTATGCGACTCTTAAGAAATGACAGATGGATTTGGCCTCTGGCCTCCACATACATGTACATGTGCACACGCCTGCAAATGATACCCCCTCACACATCTGTACATACACATACCAAATACTGACTGGGAATCTTTCCTATATTCAATGCAAAATTGTTTCTGTTCTTTCTCTATCTCATTAATGTCCTTTTATTCAACATAAGAATTTTTCTCTTCAAAGTTGTGTTTATTTGTAACTTTGCTTGTCTTAAGGTTAGTTTTCCATCATCCCTTCACTAGACTGTCATCAGCCTTATGAGATAGGACATGTCCTTCTTATTCACTCTAGTGCCTACAATAGAAGATGTAGGAAGTTGGTTACTGAATGTATTCATTTAATGAAATAATTATCACAAAAGACTGGTCTTCCTATTTCTTTTTTCTCCTCTGTTACATTGTTTTCAAAAGACCCCAAATAATCTTTTCAAAATTAAATTTGATCATGTCCCTTCCCTAATTTGATCACATTGAAATCTTTACTAATGCAATACAAATAGGGTGGAGCCCATTATATTGATTTTCAGTGATATTTCCTTGCTCATTGTACTCCAATGATCTTTCAGTTCATTGATACCAAATTCTCCTTGCTTGAATGGCTCTTCTTGATGCTCTCTGTATAGGTATTTCCTCATTCTTTAAACATTAGCATGTTGTTTTTTAATAAAGTATTTTCTCTGAATTTGAGGTAAATTATTTTTTTCCTGGAGCTTGAATGTATTTATTGTTACTATTTATTAGCTTTTCAGTCACTACAACTATGTATATGCACATTTATTTTTCACTAACCTCTTCTATTAACATGATGGATAATGATGGTGGTCAGACTTTCTTTAGCATCCAAACATGATGCTTTCAATAATTAGTATTTTAATTTAAATGATGTGCAATGGTAGTGGGAGGTTTTAAAATAAATGAGATTACCAATGATTACAAACTAGAGGTTGGTTCCATCTGCTTTGGTGTTGTATTGTTTTTAGGGAAGCACATTGTCTTAATTTTTAACATCTATAACTGCAGCATGAATTTTCCAATGAATTATAACCCTTGTCTGAGGGAGAGATTAAAATTTTATTAAAAAAAGAAATGTAAGGCATAACATCTCTTAGCTCACTAATTTCTGAATGTCAACCTCCAGAGGGAGTGGCTTGGAAGAGGCTGTTGGGTTAAAAACATTGTTCATCAGATGGGTAAACGTGAGGTAGTTCTTTGAGGCAATGGATAATTACAGACTTCATTGCCAGGGTCTCAATATTAGTAAAAGGGAACAGCATAGTCATTCCTCACCTCCTCATTCAGAATTGATTTTGTGATCTGTATTAGGCATTTTCCCTTTCACTGTGACAGAATGCCTGACAGACAACTGAAAGGAAGAAGTTGACTTCTGCTATGGTTTCAGTGGGATTTCAATCCATCCAAGTGGGAAGTCAAGCAGAACAGCTGTGACTGTGTGGCAGTGCTATTCATACCTTAATGGGAAGGCAACAGAGCAAGGTTGTCCCTAGTGACCTATTTCAGCCAAGCAAGCCCTACCTCCCAAAGACACCAAAACCTTCATAATGGCAAACTGAGAATTCAGTGTTGAAAGCACAAGTCAGAATTATAGCAAGAAGAAAGAAGGAAACATCAACGTTAATGTACTGATGAATACAAAATAAATGAAGTTTAGAAACCAACAGCTAGAGAGGAAAAGAGAACAAAAAAATGGCTTCCTAGTTGCTTAAGGAAGAAACTACTTTAAGTGGTAAATTGAATCTACAGATAAGATTAAAAATATATTTATGTTCTATTGGTAAGAAGAGCTCCCGTGACCAATGAAAATCTTATAAAGGAAAGCATTTAAAAGTGGGTTTGTAGTTTCAGGGCCTTAGGCCATTATCATAGAAGGGTTAAAATTTCCCTCCTTTTAGGTACCCTTATAAGTTTTATAGTTCAAATAAGCACAGAAACAAAACTGAAAGACTTCATTAGACTGAAGCAAATTGTAAATACTTACATAATAAAAGGAAGAAATCAACCCATTGGAAATGCTCACAACGAGTAGATGGTATCCTCAAACCATCAATTAGGCATGCAGTATGTACAAACAACAGGAAGGAGCTAGCACTTCATAGAAGTAGGTCCTTTGATAACGAAGGGAAGAATCCTTGACTTAGAAGTGTTTCTTTATGGCTAAAATGTAGATTTAACTTTTGAATTTACTCACAATTTTTTTTTATTGTTAAGTAGTTGTCTTATTTTACATTTAGATTAGCTGACATATTTAGACTGTTTAGGTACTTATTCATTATATCTTTTTTGAAAGTGACATTGATGTTTGAGCAATAATGTCAATATTCTGGGTGTGACTACGACCAATTTCCAGGACGTCTTGCACAGTAACTTGCATGTATTATGCTGTACAATGTAATTAATGTTTCACTAATATATTCTATGCCTATATTTATTTCATACAGGTAACAAATACTGGGTGTTCAAGGATACAACTCTTCAACCAGGTTACCCACATGACTTGATTACCCTTGGGAATGGAATTCCCCCTCATGGTATTGATTCTGCCATTTGGTGGGAAGACGTTGGCAAAACCTATTTCTTCAAAGGCGACAGGTCAGTATGAATGTGGCACACTACAGATACACACATTAACAGTTACCTAATGATTTGAAAAGTCAAGGTCCCTACTCAATAGTAAACATTACTGTAAATAATGATATGTATGTATCTAAATACAAGAATTAGTATACTAGAAAGATTGTCAGCGTGTTTTATATAATATATTTAAGATAAATTTTTATTGGATCCTAAATAATACAGATATTGTAGTAGAAAAGACCACAAGGCTCCTATTTTAACCCAAGGCTCCTATTATAACCCATTACAATTTACATTCTTTTGGAAGAAGTGAATAATGAGCTAGAAACAAACCAGTGACCTTGATTGTTTTCATACTGAAAAATACCACTAAGCAGCAGAGCAAGATTATGATGAGACCAAGAATCACGAGTGCTGAGATGACACAATGTCAAGGACCATGTGAAGTAACCTCTGGATACAGCTGGATTTCAGTCTGGAATTCAGTATCCTGCAATTTGTCACTGAAATAAATTGCTCCAGAAGTTTGGATTTTGTCCCCCCCCCCCCCCCTTTTTTTCTTAGCATAGAAAGGATTCTTTATTTTTTTAATTTAAATTTTATTTAAACATTTTAAATTTTATGTGGTGTTGGATGCAAAGCTTGTTTCTTTTCAGTGTGATTCACAAGTATGCCTGAAAACTGATTACTATTTCTGGTAATGATTTATTTTGAAGTGTTGACTAGGTACACTTTTCACAGATAATGCCCTACTTAGCCTGGGGAGATGGCCCAGTGATTAAGGGTGCTTTCTACTCTTCCAGAAGATCTAAGTTTAGCTCTCAGCATCTACACTGGGTGGCTTATAAGTGCTTGTAACTCCAGCTCCAGGGTACCTCATATCCCTTTTGGACTACACAGGTCCCCACAAACATGCAGTATATAGTCACACAAACGCATACATATAAATATAAATAAGTCTTAAAATGATTTACCTAATTAAAGTCAGAATTATGCAATAGAGACAACTGTCAAAGCAGATGAAAAGGCTATAATGTCCTTTATAGTCCTTATAATATTGTTGCAAAGGCTTACTTTGAGAAAGGTTCTCCCTATGTGTTCTAAGTTGACTTTGAAGTGTTTGTTCAGCCTCCTAAATGCTACAATTATAGGCTCTTGCCACTACACCAAGCTTACATAATTCTGTCAATGGAGAAAACAAGAATATGAGACAGCCCATCCATGTGCCAAAGAGTTACTTTGGAACAATAAGTTCAGTTTTCAGGGGAAAAAACCAAAATGTTTGATTTTTTTGTTGATGTTGAAATATCTATGAAATTAAAATAGGCACCTGTAGTTATAAGTCTAGTAATTTTTGTAAGATACTGTGGATAGGGTTGAACAGTTCTAATCCCATTCAAGATAGTGAGCTACATATCAAAGCTGACATGCAACAGAAAACCTAAGCATGTAAGCTTAAGTTCACTTTCTCAAATTGCAAAATGATCTCAAATTCTACTTTCCATTTCTTGATAGGAGAGGTGAAATTTATTTGTTTTGACAAATTCACCCAGAATTATATTTCTATATATAATTTATAATAGAAATTAGCACCCCTAAAATAACTTCTGGAAATGTGATTGCTATGAATGTTCCATGGCCTGTGATATGGATGTTTTGATGAATGTTGATGCCTGAGTATTTTAAGAATACATCAGGAGGAAGAAAACTTATACCAAAACAAATGAACACCAATATTTGAAGAAAAACTGGCTAACAATGGGCAGCAACATTGTCATAGGCATGCTGTGTCTACAAAGTACTAGCAACAGCATGCCTCAACATCACACTGAGCTATGAACTGAAGAGTTAGTTTAAATTTTAATTCTAAATTATTAAAATGGAGAAAAGATGTATTAGGTGCTAATGCTGTTTTGTTGATTCAAAACAAAGCTGGGTGCCATAGCTGCTGTAATTATTGTTTGGACACTATCACAGGGAACTTAAAGTACAACATAAAAATTAAGTGTAATAAAATAATATATTGTGTTGATTCACTCTCTATAAACATAATACCCTGTATAAAGTATGGATATTATTATATTGAGGGTTGTCAGAAAACTAATTTGATTTCTAAGCATTTAATGATGCTATTAAGTGACCATGCTATCCACAGGATTTAAAATTTCCCCATATTCTAGTTTAACACTTCACAATTCACTTTAACTAACAGTTAAATCATCTGCAAATAATTGCACGTGTGATGTTCCATTATTTAATTTATCATGTAAAGGAAACCCCTAACAAATAAAGTTTAATCCTATACCAATTGCAAAGTATGTTCTTACATCTACAAATTCAAAGATATGTTCTCCATGTCCATTCTTTCAGGTATTGCCTTATTTCCCTATTCCAAATTATACTTGGTTAAATGCAAAAAAACAATTATATATGACTTTAAATTCTACTGAAATATTTACTTAAGGTTGATCTTTAGATTATGTCTAGTTTCATTTTCGGATGCTGTGACTAAAAAAAAATTACCCCAGCAAAAGTAGCTCAACAGAGAGGTTATTTTGTCTGACACTTCAAGTAGTCATTCATCCTGTAGGAGAAATAAAGGCAGCAGGTGACTGAAGCATCTAGTCACATTGCATTCCCAGTAAAATACCAGAGAGCAAGCCTTTATAATTCTTAACTTGTATACTTCATTTTGTATAGTACAGGGTCCCCTTCCTCAGAGAATGGTCCCACACACAAACAAAAATTACTGTGATTAAGATAATTTGCATCCTACAAGTATGCCCAGGGGCCTAGCTATTGTATCAGTTAAGTTGAGAATTAACATTAACCATTAGAGAGTGTAAGTAGTTACATCTCATCATTCGAAACCATGCAATCTGTGATCCTAACTCACTGCTGCTCCCGCACCGCTGCTCCCTCACTACTGCTCTCTCACTGCTGCTCTCTCACTGCTCTCTCACTGCTGCTCTCTCACCACTGCTCTCTCACTGCTTTCTCACTGCTGCTCTCTCACCACTGCTCTCTCACTGCTCTCTCACTGCTGCTCCCTCACTGCTGCTCTCTCACCACTGCTCTCTCACTGCTCTCTCACTGCTGCTCTCTCACTGCTGCTCCCTCACTGCTGCTCCCTCACTGCTGCTCTCTCACTGCTGCTCCCTCACTGCTGCTCTCTCACCGCTGTTCCCTCACTGCTGCTCTCTCACCGCTGTTCCCTCACTGCTGCTCTCTCACTGCTGCTCTCTCACCGCTGTTCCCTCACTGCTGCTCCCTCACTACTGCTCCCTCACTGCTGCTCCCTCACTGCTGTTCCCTCACTGCTGCTCTCTCACCACTGCTCTCTCACTGCTACTCTCTCACTGCTGCTCCCTCACTGCTGCTCTCTCACTACTTCTCACTGCTGCTCTCTCACTGCTGCTCTCTAACTGCTGTTCTCTCACTGATGCCTTCTCACTGCTGCTCTCTCACTGCTGCTCTCTCACTGCTGCTCTCTCACTGCTGCTCCCTCACTGCTGCTCTCTCACTGCTGCTCTCTCACTGCTACTCTCTCACTGCTGCTCCCTCACTGCTGTTCTCTCACTGATGCCTTCTCACTGCTGCTCCCTCACTGCTGCTCTCTCACTGCTGCTCTCTCACTGCTGCTCCCTCACTGCTGCTCCCTCACTGCTGCTCTCTCACTGCTGCTCTCTCACTGCTACTCTCTCACTGCTGCTCCCTCACTGCTGTTCTCTCACTGATGCCTTCTCACCACTGCTCTCTCACTGCTACTCTCTCACTGCTGCTCCCTCACTGCTGCTCTCTCACTACTTCTCACTGCTGCTCTCTCACTGCTGCTCTCTCACTACTTCTCACTGCTGTTCTCTCACTGCTGCTTCCTCACTGTTGCTCTCTCACTGCTGCTCCCTCACTGCTGCTCTCTCACTGCTGCTCTCTCACTGCTGCTCTCTCACTGCTGCTCTCTCATTGCTGCTGCCTCACTGCTGCTCTCTCACTGCTGTTCTCTCACTGCTGCTCCCTCACTCCTGCTCCCTCACTGCTGTTCTCTCACTGCTGTTCTCTCACTGCTGCTCTCTCACCGCTGCTCTCCAACTGTTACTCTCCAACTCTTCCTCCTTCACTGCTGCTCTCTCATAACTTCTTCCCATGGTTGCTGTTCCTCTCATCTCTTGCCTCAAATATCAATTTTTTCACAAAGGACTTACTTTCTAATGTATTATATTTACTTTATGACATTATGCCTTGTTCCCCTCATAGTAGTTACTAGCTCCTATCATTTTCTATCTTCATTGATGATTTGGTTTGTTGTATATATACCCACCTATCTAAAACTCCAATGTTAATAAAGTAAGTGCATGTCTGTTTTTTCAGTATTATATCTTTAGAATAATCAAAATTCAACATGTATGTTTGTCTATCTGGGCATGTATAGGTACATATATGATTTTTGGTTGCAACTTTATGTTATAAGTCTACTTAGATAGCTTTATGCACTTGCCATGATTATTAACTTTAAAAGATTGAATAATCATTTCACCACATGAAAGATACAGATAACAATACATTGCAGAAGACAGAGAATAATTTTTATGTCATTCCAGTGATTTCAATCAGTTTTTTTAGTCAGTAACAGGTGTATAACCATACGGCAAGCATTTAATGAAAATATAAATACTTGTATGAGTGATGTTTTTCATTCATGTATTGTGTTTGTCCAATTTTAGATATTGGAGATATAGTGAAGAAATGAAAACCATGGACCCTGGCTATCCAAAGCCCATCACCATCTGGAAGGGGATCCCTGAATCACCTCAGGGAGCTTTTGTCCACAAAGAAAATGGTACACAGCACACACACTTTTTAGCTCCTAAGTTTTCTATTTTAATATCATACTACTTTATGATAAAAGAAATAATTTGAAAATATGACACTAGAACTATGAATTATGTATATTCATATTTGTAATTCCTATTTATATTTCTTCTTAAGAATATATGCTTAATATTACTCACTGGACAGATTTATATTTAATTTATTTATATCTATTTAAATTTATTAGAAGAAAATATAAGTAATACTTTACTATTGAGGAGTGGATATTATTTAATGACATGATATACATATCTATCAAAATTCTTGAAAATACTACAAATATGTGTGGGACAGGAATTTGTCCCAAAGACTCTGTCCTGAGTTCAGCCAATTTCAATGGTACTTTCTGCTAATCCATGCTTACTAAAGATTCCCCTCAACACAGTCAGAGTAGAATGAATGTATGACTATCATGATAAGAAACAACATATAAGCCCTACACATTATGTTTGATAATCATAAACCAAAGAAGACAGAGCATTAAGATGATATCTCTAGTTTGCTCGTCAACCACTATCAAAATTTGCTGTTAAGAATCTTCTTCTAATAGTGACTTATTTCAATCCATAAATTTAAAACTAAGTAACCAAATTTTAATATTTTATTCACATTTTGTTTCTAGGTGAAATGTCACTTCTAATATCTAAGTATTAGCTTTAATTCTTCCTTTAATCAGTTATGAAATATGACTATCTGATGCCATATGAATGCTTCCTATGTATCAAGTATAGTTCATAAATTCATTTACTTGTCCAACCAAAGACCTCTTCACCCATACTCAGCTGTGTTAAATAGCTTATTGCTGAACATATTATATATATTCTTAAAACTTGATACCAATAATGACCTATCTGTCATCCCTAAAATTTCTTGCATTTGCAGAATTCTTTATCCCAAGAGTGACACTTATCTGACCAGTGGTATTTAAGAAACAAAGTCATGTGTTATAGCTCTAGCTGTGGAAAGGGGTTTAAGTCTGTTTTGGTCTTAGTAATTAGTATTTGCCTCTGAACCCCAATATCTCCTAAAAATAAAAACAGAAATTAATTCTTCTTAATATTGGAACAGTCATGAAAGATAAAAGCAGTGCTTTTAACACTGTAACTCTTCCATAGTAATAACATACAATAACAATCATCATTTTGAACTCTTATTCTGTAATGTTCTGTTCAAAATACGTAACTCCCAAATGTATTTTTCAATTTCTACAGCATTTTTCTGTCTTTTTCTGTTGTTGTTGTTGCTGTTTTGTTTTGTTTGCTTGCCTGTTTGTTAGTTTTAGTTTTTAGTTTTACCTAAAAATAAGAAAAAAGTCCAAGTAGCACAATCAGAAACTTAACTGGATACACATCTTAAAATATTGAAAAATACTACTGAGAAAATCCACAAGTTTGTGTATGTTAGGAATTTGAAACATCTATTATTTTTAACTGTAATATTTTGGATCATAGATTACTGAATTATTTGAAACTTCCTATATCAACTTTTCATAGATGAACAAGAAGTATTACTCAGATATATTAAGATAAAATTGTGGTTTATTCTCTCTTTATTCCTAAAAATAATGTAATAATGAAATTTAAAATTCCATAAGTTGGAACAAATTTAGGATAAATAAGTAGGTATGACAAATGAAGACAACAAATGGAGAAAAGACAAAGTAGGAGTGACCTACAGCCAGAAATGAGGTTAGTGTACAACATGCTGTAAATATGTGTTTGCTTGTTAGAATTGCCAATAGTCAAAAGAAAATACCTGGCTGGGCAGTGGTGGCGCACGCCTTTAATCCCAGCACTCGGGAGGCAGAGCCAGGCGGATCTCTGTGAGTTCAAGGCCAGCCTGGGCTACCAAGTGAGTTCCAGGAAAGGCGCAAAGCTACACAGAGAAACCCTGTCTCGAAAAACCAAAAAAAAAAAAAAAAAAAAAGAAGAAAATACCTACAATCCACTTATTTGTCATGATTTCTTATCTAAATAACAAATGGGAACCTCTTGTTTAGGAAGAGCACAAAGTTTCCCAAAACTAAGATGTTGAGAACGTGCCCTGATGTGTGACTAAGTGAGAAACTTCTTTATTGTGCATTGAACAATCTCCTTGGTAGCAGTTTAAGGATCAGCAATGGTTTAATTTTTCAAGCAATTCAAAATTCTCTGATAAAAGTTAATATCATAATTCTGATGTGAATTATTTATTAGTACTCCTATAAATCAGAAAAAAAATAACACCCTCTTTATAGTCCACAACAGAAATGGATATAGATAATAGGTAGTCTGCCACCCATATATTTCAGTCACAGATTTCTTAGATGTTAGAACATACGAGCCAGGCTTGGTGGGATACACCTGCAATCCAAGCACTGGGAAGGCTGAAGCAAGAGAAATAGTTGCCCTACATTTGAGGCCACCCTGCGCTCTATAGAGTTCTAGGCCAGTTTGGGGGCCAAACTTAGACCCTTTCTCAAACAGGAAGAGATAAATGGAGGGAGGGAAGAAAGGTGGGAAGGAAGGAAGGAAGGAAGGAAGGAAGGAAGGAAGGAAGGAAGGATGGAAGGAAACAGAGAGAAAGGGCACATTTCTGGAATGCAGCACCCAGAGCCTTTGTAATACAGTTGAATTTAGGATTGTGTTTTCTTTCTTTCGAAATTGAAAGAACTTAAAATCTTAAAACACGTGTTTTGAGAAGTAGTCTATTCGTTAGCATTTATATGCATATACATGATCACAAATAAGTAGTACCTGTGTATGTATGTTTTCCCCCAGGCTTTACCTATTTCTACAAAGGAAAGGAGTATTGGAAATTCAACAACCAGATACTCAAAGTAGAACCTGGGTATCCAAGATCCATCCTCAAGGATTTTATGGGCTGTGATGGACCAACAGACCGAGATAAAGAAGGACTCAGCCCACCAGATGATGTAGACATTGTCATCAAACTGGACAACACAGCCAGCACTGTGAAAGCCATAGCTATTGTCATTCCCTGCATCTTGGCCTTATGCCTCCTTGTATTGGTTTACACTGTGTTCCAGTTCAAGAGGAAAGGAACACCCCGCCACATACTGTACTGTAAACGCTCTATGCAAGAGTGGGTGTGATGTAGGGATTTCTTTTTTCTTTCTTTTCCAGGAGTTTGTGGTACCTTGAGATTCAAGACAAGAGCTGTTATGCTGTTTCCTAGCTAGGAGCAGGCTGTGGCAGCCTGATTCGGGGCTGACCTTCCAAACCTAGAGGGTTGCTGGTCCTGCACATGAGTGGAAATACATTCATGGAGAATCTTCCATGATGCTCAGTATCTGCCGTTCTTCAGTCCTCTGTCTTTCTTTGTCATTCAGTTCTAGGCCTTTCCTCTGCACGCTCAATGCCCAGTAAAATTTCAGGATTAACTGCAGAAGAGGAAAAACAGAAGAAAAGGTTCTTCTTAAGTTTTTAAAAATACTTTTCCTTCTGAAATCTGAGCCCATTTCTGGGAGAGAGAGAGAGAGAGAGATAAAGAGAGAGAGAGAAAACAAAAAGAGCAAATCAGAAAACCCATAGGTTTTTGCTTTAAAACAAAAGAAGAAAGAGTTTTAAAAACAACAAAAATCCACAATTGAACTTTCAGGAAAGTGTGAAGACCCAAAACAGCTTTGTCTCCAAAGAAGATAGCTCTGTGACCACTATGGATAGTCTCCTGCACATCGTTTTTTTCAGGTGGGAGATCTTGAACAGACATGCAGGACTCTAGACTGTTGGGACAGCCATTTTCCAACAAACAAGGGGCCAAAATATCTGCAATATAGTAACAGCCTTAATAATACATGCATTTTTCGTTTTCTACAGCTGTTCTCAGCTTTGTCCACAACGTTTCATCACCTCCATACTCATAGCTATTTTCAAACAGGACCTTTTGATTGTTTTGAAATGTTTCTGAACCCCCTCTTGCCTCCTGACCCAACACCATTGTGATGTTCCTGCCAGTTGTGTTAGGCCTTTGTCCCAGGCCTTCCATTGGTCTGTCAGCAATACTCAGCAGAAAGCAGAGCAAGAAGCGTGTGTCTCTGAAGTAATTAAGTGATGGTTATTTTATAAAGACATGGGACTCTGTGCATACATCGGTGTAACCCTTTGAGAACTATCAGACCAGGCTACAGAGTCAGGTTAATCAGTCTTGCAGTCTGATCATTGGTAGAACTGGCCAACAGGGAAAGCCATCACAGGTTCAACAAGTTCAGATTTGTAAAGCATACCTTAAATCCCATGTAAATCTTTAATGACTGACAGCAACCCATAAATGGTTTTATAACAAACAACAGTGATGTGACTTGCCAAAATTTTTCTGGCAAATAAAAAGAGATATTTTGTTAACAGTATCTTATGAGAGTGAAATTTTATTTGGATAATTGGTTAGAACAACCTAAGCCTTTTCTCCTTCAGACATACTGAATTTTTTTAATTTAAAATCCATTGCATGAAAATTCTATTTGCCATAAAATATGCAGTTAGCATTGTGGGGTTAAAAAGGAATTAAAACAATGACTCTGAGTTTGCATGAATATCTTCCAATGCATTACCAATTGCATGTCAGCCATAGTTCTCAAAGGGTTGGTGTGGCTTCTGGCATTTAGCCATCCATTTGATCACTGACAGAGCCAAGAGACACCAAAGCATTCCATTGTTGAGTGTCATTTGTCCTAACAGCAGTATTGTCATTTTCATGTGACCTGCAGAGCAGGTTTGTATCAATATTTTTTTCCTAGAGAAAAGTCAGCAACTGACAGACCTCTATTGATTTTAGGAGCTGCTTCTTGCAGTGAAAGGCTTTACAGCCACAGGGCTGTGAACTTATTAGAGATGGTCAGAAAGAAAGCACCCCATGAGTCAGACAACTGGCTTTGTGTGAAAGCCAGCTTTTGAGGGGATTAGCTTTTGAAACAATGAACAGCTTGCCTTGAATTTGATATTGATCTGTTGACTGTCATTAACAACTTAAACATTGTCTTCTGTGAAAAATTTCCCTGAAGAGTCCTGTTCTGTGTCTTTGCCCTTTGACCTTTAACTTGCAAACTGGCACAAACTGAAGGAAATCTGGTGTCACTTCTCCAAAACCTAGTAAGCAAGAGCTGTTTCCTTAGAGTGAAGAGAGAGTTTGGGTATTGGATCTGCAGGTGGACGCTTTGCTCTCTACATGCACACTCTGAATATGCCCTATAGGTAGAGGTATTTTTTAATTTTTTTCTTTAATTTCAAGCTTAATTTCATCATTTTAGTAAAAATTACAAAAAAACATAGAAAAAAAAAAAAACCTCAAATACTTGAATGGCCAGTGTGGCTTTTATATAAAGCAGGAATTTTATACTAGTGAAAATTTCTTACTCATTTGCTAATAATACACATTTCCAGATGATTTTTAATGAGTGTAGGTATACATTCTTATTTGGAAATGGATAGTTTGGCTGCCTTGAATTTATATTTATACTCAACATAGCATGAAAATTAGAATGCCTTTTGGTTAAACTACATGTTTATGATTTGGTTGGGGAAAATATTTTCTAATCATGGGTGGCATGCTGAAAAGCCTTGAAAACTGGTGTTTCCTACAATCTGAGCATATATCATGTGAGGCTAAGTCAAAATGAACAGCTAGGAAAGAGGAATGGCTTCATAGCACCGCATTATGAAATGCAGATTGTACTGCAACAGGACATCAAAGATTTGAATGTGAGGGTCAATAAGAAAGGGGAGGGCAAGGATCAGCCCTGTATTTCTACTTCAAGAACTTCCTTTCTAGGTGATGCTAATATTATAGTTAGTTCCTACAGAGCATGGAGGACTGTATACATAAGCCTGTTTATACAGTGTTTGCTTGTTAGAGGGTTTAATCCTTTCAGGACCTTGATGTCAAGGAAAAAAATGACTGGAAACTCTTTTTTTCTAATGATAGAAGTGAGGAGCTGTAACATTTTGGGACATGTGCAAATCATTGAGAAACTCCATCAATGTGCGTTGAACTTTTTTTCTCTCTAAAATCAAAAAGAACTTTAATAAGCAATCTATTGCGTCTTTACTCATTCATCACAGTACAAGACTGTAAGTACCTAAGGGCTAGAAAATAATCATAGCATTGAAAAGGAAGGAATCTTCATTATGCTTGAATTATGACAAACATCATGGATATGATTTGGGTTGTGTTGCCTTGAATATGAGAAGTCTATGTATTAAAAAAAGGCTTATATGTCTACTATCTTGCCTAAGACATTTATAAGATCATAAATGATAAGAACTAAGTACAATGTAATAAAAATCACTGGGGTTCCTTTGTTCATTGTGTGCCAGGCACTTCATTCATATGGTTGCTGACTCTTCTTACACTTGGGATTTGTTTAGAAAAGAAAAGAAAAGAAAAATATGGCAACGCTTAAGAAAGCATGAAAATGAAAATGATTAATTAATCTAGCATATGAAAATAACAATTTAAATTTAAGAAAGGAAGTTCTCTGGATGAGGAACATAATGTCAGTTCAATATTAGTGAAGACATGGAACCAATCAAGTTTTTCCTGTCATCTCTAAATAAGTAGCTCAGACCTACTATTTCCAAAACTGAAATGAAAACATATTCATGTTCATAAAATAATTCATCTGTTTCATTATTTGTATTACTTTACCAAATATTGAAGACAACTGTAAACAAGGTAATGGTTTTACCTAAAGTGAATTTATAGTTAATAATTTCAGATAAATATTGTTTCTCCATATATTATTAATCAGACTAAGTGAAATATTAAGATGAGTGATCAGTTTGAATTTTCTATAAAGCAGTAGTTCTGCATCAGTTCTGTAGAGAAAGTTGTGATTTTAGGTACCTGATAACCCATCTGAGAACCAAGTTTTCTTCAGAGACGGCGACCACAGCAGGTGAAGACAGACGTTCACTGACATGGCAGAGGTTACAGAGCTCAATTAGAGAATAATAGGCGCTGCTGGCAAATGTAGTTTCTGTTCCTAAGCAGAGAGCAATGCTTTTCTCAACCAAATGTAACAAAGTACTAAGAAATAATCACCAAAAGACAATTACTAAGTATTAAAAGATAGAGACAGCTTTACTGAGATAAGAAAATGTTTGTTTCTCAAGCTGCCTACAGTCTCTTTTATCAACACATAATTTGGCTTTTCAAATACTGTGCATTTATTTTTATTTCATTTCTGTGAATGATTACAATGCAATGTAGTGGATATAAGAGCATCGCCTAGATTCTACTGCTCAGTGTGATATCTGAATGAGAGTGTATATACTGGATCCTAGGAAGAGTAATGTAATATTCTCAAGTTCTCCATGTTGTGTTGATATCTCTAATATGGCACAAATTCAGATTCTTGTTATGTGGACCTTACAGTTGAGTAACTGGTGCGCCCATATTAATTGAACTCAATGTGCTATCTGAAGAAGAATAGATGTTATACTTGAATAGAAATGTTAAACAAAAGTCATGAAAATAACCAATTTTTTAGGTATTTGGTATTTATTTCCAGAAACAAATAAAGGCAGTGATTTGATGATAGTTTTGAGTCTGTGAGATTGTAGTATATAATGAAATAAGCCTGGGGATGGTGAGAAAATATTTACAGTAATCACAGCAAAATGTTTAATTCTTTATACCTTAAAGAGCATGTTCCAAGATATCATAGACACGACATACCATTTAAAGCACAAGTGTGACATTCAGATGACCTATGGCAAAGAGCTACAGATACAGTCTTCACTAATCTATGATACCACAGAAGGGGTCAAGGAACTCATAGAGTAGAATCTAGCCATTCTTTCCAAAGGCATTCACCTCCACAATACTGATGTATAACAACCCCAGGAAACAAGTGCCAGAGTCTAATGACAGGTTTCCTGTTGCCTGAGTGGAAAGTATAGCTATGTCATATAGTTGAAACAAGTCCTTTTTAAGGCTAAACTTAGCAAAATAAACTAACAACCAAGGATAGTACCACACCATTAATATGAAAGCTACATTTTATAAGTAGAATGAGCAATGGAGAAGGACAAAACCAATCTTTTATAAAATATAAAGTCATACTCTAGCAATCTATAATATTACAACTGGAAGTTTTACTTTAGCAAGAACAAAAATACTAGAGGAAAATGAAACTTCAAGCTCTTCACACCAGTGATGAGTATGTTATTTATCAATGTATATACTTAGTCAGTGCTCATTAGATGTGACCCATGTAAATGCATCTGATACTTATCCATTGCCTCATAAACCCAAAATGTTAAAAATATGCATTCAGTATCCCCAGTCAGAGAGATGTTAGAACCCTGTGGGAAAAGCCATTTCTCTAGGATAGAAATTTACCTCAATAATCATAGAACACAAAACACTTGGCATAGTAGCAAAAGTTGCCTTAGTGTTCTAGTCTGATCTAATTGTAGACGTTGTCTATAATGCACCACTGACATCGTTTATCATGTCTTTCTATTGGTCTAAGTTTGAGTTGATTTTTAAATATTTCAGGTAAGGTTAATAACATCTAATTATCTATATCTCCTTCAACATGTCTACTCTGACATATAAGTCAATAGTATAGAAAGCCTAGAATGAATATTGACTTGACATATTCACAGAAATTCAGAGAAAAATCACTGGTGATATTTCAAAATTCCCATCTATTTTCTGGTAGGATCCAGAAGTAGCAGCTTTCAGTGTTGGAACATGGCTATGAACTGATGACAAAACAGGACATACATCATTTCTTCAAAATAATCTAGTATTTATAGGAAGCAGTGATAGAAGACTACGAGAAGTTTAGTGATATAATGAAGGCTTCACAGGCATTAGTAGTGAATGCTTTTTAAAGAAAATGGGGCAAAATCAGTACTTGTGATCAGTACATTGTAAGCATAAGAAGCTATATATGGAGGACATTCATATATGGAGAGATCTGAGATTCTATGCCTTTCAACTGAAAAAGCAGTGTGTCTTGGAATTTTTCTTATATTAACATAATGATATTATTCAGATGTGTGCTCAACGTGTCCTTCCATGAAAGGACATGCCGGGCTATGCAGGAAAACATATCACAAGCTGGAGTGTTGTGCTGATTCACATGACATTGCCATGTGCTCTGCTACAGAGCTGGATAGTTATGCCCTTAAGAAGGGAAGAAAATATCAAATATAAATATAACTCTTTCCTATTCTGCCACTTAGCTTCAAAGTAAGATATCACTAACTTTTATTTCACTGAGAAAATGGAAAGAAAGAATGGTAAGCAAGAATAAAACAAACAAACAACAAAATCCCAGCTCACAAAGACATTTTCTATTTTCTTTCACCTGCTTTTGTTCATGGGAAAAAGTGTTTTATATATAGACTTCTTCCTAGCACTTGATACGTAGCTAGATTGGATCACAAGCATAGTATTTTTAACACAGGCCTTTGATACATGCCTCATACATTATGTAGCTCTGAGGTATGACATGAAAGGATGCTTTTCCCTAGGATAGGCTACAGTGCTGCTTGTACTTGCCATATTTGTATGAATGTGTGTTGCTATGTTGGCCTGTCTTGCCAGGATATAGATGAATAAAACCTTGTGTAGACTGTCTATTTGAAGTCACTAGAATGCATGTTTGCTCTCATGTGATACCTTTGGATTTCATTCCCTTTCTGTATACCAATAGGCCACTTGTTAGTATAAAACTTACTTTTTTTTTTTTTTTTTTTTTGGTTTTTCGAGACAGGGTTTCTCTGTGTAGCTTTGCGCCTTTCCTGGAACTCACTTGGTAGCCCAGGCTGGCCTCGAACTCACAGAGATCCGCCGGCCTCTGCCTCCCGAGTGCTGGGATTAAAGGCGTGCGCCACCACCGCCCGGCAAAACTTACTTTTAATGAATGGTTTCAGTAGTAATACAGGGGTTTTCTAATATAATAATTTTTACTACTCTGAAATAACATTATCACCTCACTTCTTGCTCCTTGTGAATTCCATTTCCTATGTAAAATTAGGAATTTATGTTGGATCATCATTTCCTTCTTATATATGACATGAAATCCATTATTCCTTTCTATACTCATGAATCCAAATTCTCACAGTCAACCAAACATGTATTCTAATCAAGAGTGAGTGATCATCAGCATTTTCCACCCTGCTTCTGTGATCGTTATTTGATTCCTTTCAGTCACCAATTTTTCCACCCCAATTCTGTTATTTTTCAAATCAGATTTTATTACCATTCTGTTTGTGAAAACGAGAACTTAGCAGCACATAGGTGAAACCCTGGAGATGTGTCTTTGTTTCTCAGAATTTTCCAACAAATATTACATGGAAAACACAGTCCTTATCACATTCCAAACTCTTTCATTGGCATATATTTTTATAGAGCTCTTCCCCTGAAAAAAAGTGAAATGCTGAGTATAATTGCTGTTGTCTGATGATAAGATAGCAATGAAAATTTATTTTGGGAGAATGTATCAAATATAAATATACAGTATGGTAAATATCACAATGTAGTGTTTAAGTACATCAGGAGGAAATGCATGCCTACAGCCTAGAATCTTTGGGATATTTCTCCTTAGTGGTAAATTACATATATAAGAAAGAGATAGAATAAAAGAATAATGTATATCACAGCAGTGGTTTCTGCTGCATTGGTTTTGACTGCATCAGCATTTCTGTGGTGGACCTCTATTTTCAGGGGATTTAGAGACTTGGCCATAAAAATTTGCTTCAAGTATAAAAGCCTTTAAAGATTTTTTTTCTTACATGTATCTAATTTTAATCAAATATATTTTGGTTTTATATTATTGAAAGTAAATGGATGAAGTTTACTAGTTTAATTTTGTGCTAATATCAACTTAATAAGCTTAATTTTTAATGAAAACAAAATATAATCAGTTCATAGTCTAATTTTTTAAACAAATCAAATATTGTTGACATTGAGAAATTTGCCTGCTTCACCAGTGTGGTATTTATCTTCAAGATGTTTTAAGACTTCAATACCTATTGTTATCTTGATTCTAATAGTGAATCAGTATAACTGACAATGAATATAGATATGTGATATCTATATAAGCTATCTGATAACATATATTTGAGAATATATAGTAATGATATTTATGTGTATATATATACATATATATTCACTAGACAGATTAAGAGAAAGAAGATTCCATCAATTATTAAATAAATACCATATATTTTTTCAAATACTTTTACAGACATTTAGCTTTCAGAGTCCAAATGAGATATAAGCAATCCAGAGGGAAGTTGTCTCCTAGGCAAACAACAAGTGTTTTACAGCTTCCCATGAAAATCACCTTTCATTTATATAGTATGGATATTAGGAATTAAAACATTGAAAGGAAAGCAAGATTTATTAAACAACAATAGACTGTGAAGCAGAGAGAAAGGCCAGGAAGTTAGGATTTTAGATAGTTGTCTTGTGGTTGTCTATACCTTAGCTTTTGCTTTATTCCCTCGATGTTTTCAGTTACAGAGAGAGTATGAAGCTATAACTGTGAGTTTCTGAGTTTCTTTCATTGTACTTACACTACATTATCTCACTAAAGTTTTGATAACATGTACTTTTCTGTGTACAAGGCATGAAATAACACATTTATTTTCTCAGTGGATTTTAAGGGTTGAATGTTACGGTTTTGCCCACACATGATTATATAAATTTACTCCATCTTAAATTTGGCATTTTTTTTTTCCGATTGCTTCTACTGACAAACACAAAGCTTGTTTGTGTGCAAATAAAAGGCTAAATAAATGGTGCTAAAGTGTATTATGACTGTCAGATATAATCAGGCAAAATTTTGTGGTGCTTCAATTAATTTTTCATTGATTTTATTGACCAGTGTGTTGAACAGTGTTTATTCACAAATTGTCTTTTATTAGTAAACTTAAGGCTTCATAGCACATTGTTAATAAAATGGTTGCCTAGTTTGTGTAATAGCTCACCAAGCTATTATCTCCTTGACTCCTTATAATGAGGCCTCATTAAAGGTCAAGGGTCATGCTATTAATCTCATTCTATAGATCAGTAACATGACTGAATATTTTCACAAGGTACTTATGTTTACAACGCTATAACCCTTTGACTGCTGTGGCCATCTTAACCATACAAAAGTCACAAGCTAGAATCATCAGCATGGTTTTTGCCATGGCAATCAAAGAGTTAAGGGCTGTGCAGTTATTTGTTTTGTATTTATTAATTTATATTTATTTCATTTCCATTCAAAAAGGGGTTTGGATGGGGCAGTGTTTGTCTGCTGTAAGTGTCTTAACCTAGGGGAAGGTTAAATGGCTTTTTATACTGTTGCATCTTCTGTATTTACCATCGATTCATTGTGTTGTAATTTTAAAAAACTGTCAATAAATAAGAAAACCGAAAAATCGTTCATGGACATTGTGGTTTTAGTCATGATTTGCTTCCATTTATGACCAGCATGTAGAATATGATCGACAGCATCAGTCTTTACTGTCTTTGGCTTCATAATTAAGAAACAGCAATTGAAAATGCTGGGGTAATTTAGAAAAAAGTTTCTTGTGTCTTTTCCTGAATTAGCAAGTATATTTTACTAGCCCTATCAGTTGGAGAATGCTTAACAAATAACAATATGCAAACAATTGTGATCAAGGAGAGGAGCCAAAAATGCTGCTGCACCACATGTACTTCAGGCAAGTGGCCATGAGCACAGACATGGCTTTTATGAGACTTGAGACATATGAAAAATAACTATTTAGAGAAGTAAGTGTAAACTATCATTTAAAGTTGTATGCCAACCCTGATTAAGTAAATTGAATTAAATTTTGTTTTATGTTTTATATCGAATCTCTTGCAGAATTTCATTTGCAGAACCCTCCCTCTTTTTCTTGTTGCTGGAATCTGAACCCAGGGCAGTGCATGATTAGAGTTCACTCAGTCCTCTTTCTTTTAGTAATCATATTATATTAAAAAAGAGCACCAACCAACTTCAAGAAATAAAACTAAGGGTAATACTCTTTTGTATTTAACATTTGGATAAATTAAGAGTCAGCTAAATATCATTCGGGAAATAGTCAATACCTCTATTTAAAAACGCCAAACTAAGAAAGCATTTTTTAAATCAGTTCTTGCATGTATCAGTAATCTCCAAATCCTAAGAGCCATCTGAATTTTACAAAGAATAACAAATTATATTGGGAATAAAGCAAAAAAAATTCCCTCATACAAAAATCTGCCGACCTGTGTACCAAGAAATTAATCATATCCATCCATACAAACACATAGAGGAAGAAAATGAAAGAGAGGGAGAGGGGAGAAAGATCCCAAGATTGGCCTTGCACTTTACACCCTCCTGTCTTAGCCTCCTCTACTGGACTAATAGTCATATCTCATCATGACCAGCCTTACTTTATGAATTATAATCCACATGTAAACAAGGATCTGGAGACAAGTGAACTAAAATGGTCATGGGAGATCAATTGCCTAATCAGACAAAAAGTATGCAAGAGACAGAGCTGTTTCTGTTCTGTTGCTGAGTATATGTCCTAAGGCAGATCCAAAGAATGGAGAGAACTATCAAAACTTTAAGTAGAAGAGCGGCAGATGAAGCTGTAGCCACGGTTACTGTTCAGGCACTAAAGTGTGATTCCCGTTGGGTTGACAGCTCCTGTTTGGGCACGTGTCCTTTTCCTAAGTCCTCTTTCTTATTGCTCATAATTAAATTTGGGCCAAAGACCCTTTTTAAGAAACTCCAACTTTGCTCCATGAATCAGCAGTGAAAAGAAGCATTGCTGCGCTTTGAGGGCATGCCAAAGCATGTGCAAACTTTAGACTACCAGCCATATTTGTAGTTGTAGATGGTTTTTAAGCAAATACAACTTTAAGGATGAAGTAATTAAAGCAGGTAAGCCATCAATATCAGAGTGAACTTGAGAGAAAGTCTGTACTGTTCTTGTTATCACAGAAGAGAGAAAAGCTGAAAATGTCAGTCTGACCCACTAACAAGTTTATTTTTCTTATCTATGTGGATTTGTACATCAATTATCTAATAGATTTTATGTGAAGTATAGGTTTGCGCACACATGCCTGAGTATTTTTCACTAAAATCCAGGCTACAGTTTGATAATCTTTCTTGAAGAAGTAAAATCCAGACAATCTTATAAAGTATCTACTAACATGCCTAGCACATTGTAAGAGTGCTTTTATTAAGGTGACATATATTTTCATAGTCTAAGTCTCTTTTTAAAGACTAAATTACATGATTCAAGTCACTTTAATATTTTCTGCTACATTCACATCTTCGTTACTCTAGTTTACCAGCAGCACCTCACAACCGACTTTTCCCCTCCCATCACTTCCTTTCCACTCCTTTTTCTCCTCTTTCCTTATTTCAATCCTTGAAAGAAATTATGTATTTAATTATTCCCTTCTTATAATCTTTCTGTCTTCTTAAGCTCCTCATTAGGCCTATTTATTCTAATGCATGTAAAATTTTTATTATTAAGATGGCTGTTTCTTATTTCCTAGCCCATTTGGCTTACTCACTGTATTTAAGACTAGTTACATTGCCACTAGTACTTTTTCTAGACAGCTCCTAGGTAATAGTGTAAGCCTGCTTATGTATCACTTAGGTCTTCCACCCTCAGATCTCACTGCTGTGCTGGTCCATAGTCAATGAACATCAGATGTTGGACTCTAGACATTAGCATCCGCTCTTCGAAAATGGGTAACTTTTGGAACTAAACATTATGAATTTATTCAAGTCTAGTCAAATGTTCTTGATCTTTATTTTGCACTGACTCCTGGGCTTCAGGTTTATAATGTGTGGTGAAATCCATATTCACACTTTCCACACTTGCTGAACTAATTAAGTTTAATTTTTCCTTTTCTTGCATTCAACCACTGAATAGAAAAATCGCCACTGTCTTTTTCTTACTTTCAAAAGAGATATATTTATTGAATTTCTCATTTTATTTGTTGTATTAGGTAGTTTTTGTTACCTGTCCATCAAATCTTGATTGTCTTGGGTCTCCCTCCCCCTTGTTACACCTGTCTGCATAAACACCAACCAGCACTATAATTTACTTCCACAGTATTTCTGACATCCTATTTCTCTTTGATATCTTTATCCTACATCTTCTTGCCTATCTAGGTCTTTCTTTCCCAGCCTGCCTTGCTTCCTGGCACAAGTATCTTCCCTCACTAGACTCTAAGTTATAGAACTGCACTATCAGAAATTGATAATCCTTTAAATATTTAAAAATATTTGGTTGTGTGTGGGAGGATGTTCATGAATGTGGAGGCCAGAGGTGTCCTTCTCTGTCCTTCTTCCCCTTCTTCTCTTATGACCAGGTCTGTCATTGAACCAGTTGATAGGTTAGCAATCATGGCCTCAGCTGTCCCCTACTCACAGTGTAGCTGTGCCCAGCTTTTTACTTAAGTTTGGAATATCTAAGCTCAGCTCCTCAATTGTGCATAGCAAGAGCTCTTACCCACCAAGCTTTTTCCCCAGCCCCAAGGACAAGGATTTTATGTGTGTACTCTCCAAAATCTATTCTCTACTTGTCTTTCAAGATTTTCCACCAGTAAACACTGTTGTACCTAAAACTTTCATCTTTGCCATTTCCTGTGTGTTGTTTTGTATTTGTAATGCATTTGTATCCACTTTGAATTCCAGCTTCATTGTCATTATTTTCCCTGACCTAAGTACACAAAACCCATGTCCTTTGAAATCCTGCCTTTCCATTGTATTTCACCTAGGGCAATTACAGGATAATTAATAGCACATCCTTCTCACTTCAAAGGTTTTCTGGTGTTATAATAAGCTGTACGACCGTAGTCTTATGCAAATGTTGGATAAGGATTATATTGCATGTAAGTTTATTTTTTCTTGCTCCTTGTTAACATCTATTTTCTAGGAACTGTGCCGTCCTCACTGTGGTGATTTAATTTCTGTTTCGCTCCCGCTGCAGTGTCCACTACAATGCCTGTTTGAAAGGAAGAGCTCCAGAAACATGTGTTGCCCTAAATCAAATAATAGTTTTAAAATAATAAGAATTACAGATATTTTATTTGGCTTTGTTAACCATTCTCTAATTCATCTGAATAATTTTATGAATAAAGATATTAAAATAACTTGTTTCTAACATCAATCATGTAAGTACTTGACCTTGTTTCTCTCTAAAACTTTATTTTCCAAAGCTCTTAAATTGTTTCTTATTAAGCTGTAAGGTACACGTGTAATTGAACCTAAATTTTATATACTTTTCTTATTTCTATTTGTCACTTTAAGAAATGAGAACATTTTTCAGTTATTATATTCTGGTGAAGTTAGAAGACCTGTGCCTTGGAGGTACCCACAGGTACAGCAAATATAAGTACAATATCCAAAAAGTAAATCCTTCCTTAAATCTATGCATAAGTATCAAAGAAGAAGTTGCTAGTTTACTTAATATGTTGTGACAAGAGAATCCTCCCTACAATGAGGAATAGCAGGAACCTTTGGGGTCATTTTGCCTATTCAGAGGGATATATAATCTTAATTATTGTGGAACAGTAGGACAGGATATCAAATACTGTGTTGATCTGAAAGCAACTAGGATGTTGTTGAGAGAAGTACTCAGAAATAAAAAAGAAGCAAGTTAGGAATAAAAGAGAACAGATAAACAGCTCAAAGACAAGAAAAGAAATTGTTTTCAAAACCGTTTGTTACTTTGACCAGCTGTTGAGCTACTACTATTCTTACGATGGCTGTCCGCCATGAAGACTTTATTGATTTTAGTTGGTGTGGGGCAGACAGCTAAAATTTTAGGTCAGATGGTATATCAAACATAAAAACATAATTTCCTGACCTTCAGAGACTTCCTAAACCTCAGAAAATAGATATTTTCTTTTTTTTTTTCCAAAGACCTAAGAAATGAGAGTACAAAAAGGTGATAATAGCATTATTTGGGAATTAGGGGAAAAGTGGAAATCTAACAATTAGATTAATAGCCCCAAGGAAACAGAGTGCTAAACAAACAGAGAACATGTTTCTCTGGAAGCAGGAAGAAGGCAGTTGACTAAATTCAAACAGGAAAGCAACCCAGTGCTCAAGACCCCATCTAGGACTTTTTGCTTCTAGCCAACTGTTCTCTGCGGCTGAAAAGTCTGCTTTCTTCCATGGAAAGGGTGGAATTCTGAAATAAAGAATGTTAGAGTTCTGCACTAAGACAAAGGAAAAATGAATCTTCTTTCACCTCACCATATGCAGCTCAACAGAAAGGATTTATTTTTTGTTTATTTTCACCCAGACAAGTAAATGGAGCACACTTTTCTAAAACCCCAAGACATGTTATTAAAACTTGGTGGCCACTGTGGCACCACTAAGTATCCAACAAGCCAAATCATTAGCAAAGATCATGCTAATAGGTTCATCAG